TGAGGGCCCTTCTCTTATGTAGCTTGACCAATGGACTCTTTGCCTTCAGAGCCAGTGATGCAGGTGACCCTGCTGGTGCGGTGTATAGACAGCTCTCCACGTTTATGTTTAAACAATCACGACGCTGCTGCTGCTCCTGCTGCTGCTCCTGCTGCTGCTGCTGCTGCTGCTGCTGCTGCTGCTGCTGAGGAGATGTTGCTGCTAGCTGCATACCCGCTATCACTGCTTGGGCTGTCTGTAGACACCGTATAGACTCTGTACTACAAACAACAACAGGAATACCTTTACACGTTGCTGCTGCTGCTGCTGCTGCTGCTGCTGGTGCTGCTGCTGCTGCTGCTGCTGCTGCTGTGCAGCCGCTGCAGCGCCGCAGCTGCTGCTGCGCTTGTCTTATCCTTACCCCCACAGCAACCGACTGTCTCCATCCTGCCTCCGTGAGGGACCCTGGCTGCCCCCCAAAGGGCCATATAGTTTTCTCGCTGTCTCCTTCTGCTGCTGCATTCTTGCTGCTGCTGCTGCTGCTGCTGCTGCTGCTGCTGCTGCTGCTGCTGCTCTTGCTGCTGTTGGGGGCGGTGGGGGTGTCTACAGACTCCTCCCGATCCCCTGGCTTCTCTGCTGTCTTTTCTTCTGCTGCTGCACCCGACTTGCTGCTGCTGCTGTTGCTGCTGCTGCTCTTGCTGCTGCTGCTGCTGCTGCTGCTGTTGTTGTTGGCTGCATCACCCGCAGTTTCTCCTTTTTCGTCTGGCTTACCGTCAGTTGCTGCAGCAGCATCTTCTGCTGCAGCAGCACCTGCTGCTGCTGCAGCTGCTGCACCTTCTGCTGCAGCAGCATCTTCTGCTGAAGCAGCACCTGCTGCTGCTGCTGCACCTTCTGCTGCAGCAGGACCTTCTGCTGCTGCAGCAGCACCTTTTGCTGCAGCAGCATCTTCTGCTGCAGCAGCAGCACCTTCTGCTGCAGCAGCAACTCGGACCTTGGGGGCCCTTGCCCCGTGTCTCATGAAGACAACAGTGCCTAGATGCTTAGCAGCAAAGCCTGCAACAGTGAATCCTGTTGCTGCTGCTGCTGCTGCTGCTGCTGCTGCTGCTGCTTCATACGAGTCATAGAAACTATCATAAGGCCCAGAGATAGAGCAGCAATCGAAGCATTCGCAGTCGTCTCCATGCTCGTCAACTTCGTATGCATCCTGCTGCTGCTGCTGCTGCTGCTGCTGCTGCTTTTGCTGTTGCTGCTGCTGCTGCTGTTGCTGCTCCTGCTGCTCTTCTAGCTGCTCGTGCTGCTGCTGCTGCTGCTGCTGCTGCTGCGGGCTGCCGCCTTCTTCTTCATGAACCCCCAACATTGCGAAGGGTACGATGCTGCTGCTGCTGTTGCTGCTGCTGCTGTTGTTGCTGCTGCTGCTGTTGCTGCAGCTGGGGGGACGAGCTGGCAGCGCACTGCAGCAAGTACTTAGGGAGCTGTTGCGGCTGCTGCCTCGGCCCGCCGCTGCTGCTGCCGCTTCAGCTGCAGCAGCAGCAGCAGCAGCTGACTGCATGCTGATGCTTATACGAATGCTGCTGCTGCTGCTGCTGCGGCTGCTGCTGCTGCTGTTGAAGCAGACGTCCCTTGGCAGCTGCAGAAGCGGAGACAGACGAGGAGGCCTGTAGAGTTGTTTGCTGCAGAACAGCAACACGTGCTGCTGCTGCTGCTGCTGCTGCTGCTGCTGCAGCTGCTGCTGTTGTTGTTGATGTTGGAGCTGATGTTGCTGTTGCTGCTGTTGCTGCTGCTGCTGCTGAAGCAGCTGGAGAGCAAGCCGGGGGCTGGTGGCAGTGCTGCTGCAGTAGCTGCTGCGATGCTGCTTCTGTCTGTGTTTCTGCTGCTGCAGGTGTATTTGTTGCTGTTGCTGTTGCTGCTGCTGCTGCTGCTGCTGCTGCTGCTGCTGCAGTTGTTGCTTATTCAGGTGTACATGCAGCTGCGTATAG